TATGTTCCTATGACGTGTGTACTTCTATGTAGATTTCCTTTCGTACAATGGACTCGGGGCCTCAAGAAAGAATTCGATATAAAGGATCAAGAAACAATGATTTGTCCGTATGTTCACATGTCCTGCTATCAAATTTGTTTATGAAGGATCACCAAAGGTTTGTAATTTTATTTAATCTTTGGATAAAACTCTTCATCTTTACCATGTATTGTGTTCTTTCCTTTTGCCTGATAACACGATTCTTGCTGACATTTTCAAAAAAAAACATTGTGGTGTTTGTTCGAATCTAGCACCTTTTTATGTGATCTAGCACCTTTCTTAGTAAGACGAAGCATGCTTCTATATGTACTTAAGGGGCATGTGGCAATTAAGAGGAATGCCAAGAATCAGTGTATGTTCTTTTGTCTAAAATCATAAGTCACAATTACTAAACTTTGTTTCTTCAAATATCGTTGTGTGGTATTGGCAAAACCAATTGTATTTTTGCCCTTATATTTCTCTAACTTCGAGCCCTTCTTTGTTTATTAGGAGGTGTGAAATCAAGCATAATTCATGCTGTGTGTGGAGCCACGTTTTGGTCTATGTATAGCACATGACATTGTTGATACCATATTTTTTACTGGCAAATGTAAATTTTATTCGATACAAAGTGTAAGAGACTGCAATGTCTATGGAAACTTCATTTTTTTGTCATGTGATACTGGCGTTTTACAACTAACCACGACTTTAAGACATGTCAATATGTGTGCTCCATTCTTCATATTTTCCCCCAACATAGGTTTTCTCAAGAATCTTTCGTTATCAGGACATCCTTTTGAAGTAGTGTTCAATTATTTTTTGGTTTTAGCATATGTTTTCAACGAGTATTTTTCTAATAAATCACTAGGAGGCATAACTATTGCAGCAATTCTTACTATCTCATCTACGTAAGGCAAATATTTAGCATGATGTTTTTTAGTAAACTTAGAGAAATTTTTATGCACAAGAAACAAGTCTTGGAGGGTGGTACAAGCGCCGGTACGATCCCTTGCGGTCGTACCGCACCTCGTATTCCCATCTGGAATGAAGGAACATATCAGGACCTTTGGTACACCCCACGGTATGAGTTCTCACGATAGACGCAGGGCCATCTTCTCTTCTGGTGCCGAAGAAGTCCTCACACCGGTATGGTACGACTAGCGGTATGAGAAATCACGCTCGTACCACATGTTGTTTTCTCTTCTATTACCGGAGGCTTATTTCCATGCGTTTGACCTTCGGAAAAAATGTGTGTGTGTTTTGTCGCGTGTGAAGTTTTGGTACGACCCATGATACGAGCTGACACACTCGTACACGTGACCTTTTTACCTTTGGAAGCAGAAAGGATTTTGATGGGCACTTGGTATGAGCACGGGTACAAGCATGCCACCCGCATCTTCTGCTCTGATTGCGTGAAAATTAGCATATTCTTCCTGAATACTATGGTTTGTTTCCTAATCTTCCTCACCTAACGTAATCTTGCGAATATCTGTGAGTATACCTTCTTATATATCCTTTGGAGGACCTTCTCCATTGCACGTTAGCAAACCAATCTACCTCTAGATGCATATCAAGTTTGTAGGCAAAGGGAAGAACCTCAAGGCATGCCGCGCCATTGGAACAAGCGGCGAACG